CAATGTTTCATGATGTTTTCTAAAATAACGCGGGAGCCACAAATTCGCGCATAACAATATGCAAAAATTGAATGTTGCATTAACTTTGTAATCTTTTATATTGCTCGTATAATATAATTTAGTGTCCTCAGAATTTATTCCTAGAGATCGGAGGTTAATATTCTTCGCAATTTATTATCGTGATGATGCAACAAGGGTTCAGAAGGGTCAAGACCCTGAATCGTTGAAGATGAGATCTTTGGATCCCGTAAAATATGGTAGTGCAACTCGGACCATTTCCTTTTCCCCAAAGGACCATATCACTGACAGCAAATGAACCTCCTGAGAGTTTTCGTAAAACCCTCTTTCCTATAAACGCCTCATCATTCGTATCCAGAAAATATGCAGCATATGACAGGCTATCTCTTTCCAAAAGAACATTTATCTTCCACGATGCTATTCAATAAAAAAGTTATAAGCCAAGCCTTGTTAAAATTCAAGACGAAACTTCGAAAGATGTCCAAAAGAGACGTCTAAGAGGGTGTCTGAAAAATAAGACGGCTTTCGGATCTTTGTATCATACGGGAACACGAGCAGCTGCGCGAATTAATTATAATTCCTCGACATATGATAGATGGCAATATTGTCAGGATAATTCTCTTTGTTTGCAATTTTACGGACCGCTTATTTGAGGCCTAACCAAACGATAAGAAAAGAATAATTTTTCCATCGTAGTACGAATAAGCGCATAAATCGAGTACAAGGACATCATGCAGACCTTTCTCGATCTTCCGCTGTATAAGCTGGGTCGGTCTGGATACGGTTGGCTTCGCAAATGGTATAAAGAAAGCCACCCAACTTGAGAAACGGATATGAAACAAGATCTACCTTAGACATGAAAGATCATCGAAATCATTTACATAACTTTTACTCAACCTATTCCCCAACATCAGCTGTCTATTTTTATAAAATCCCAACCCGTTTCAATGTTATGTAATACACGCGTTACAAGTTAATACCTACAGGATAATCGAGAAATTTCTGACAGAAAGCTTTTTCCAAGTGTTTGTTTTCGTGGTAAATTTCCTGACAGACACTCTGATTTAACAGTTTAGAGAATCTACGTTTGTTATGTATTTTATGCAATAATATAGGATGTTCTTGAAAACTCTGAAATAATGTATTAATAATTAAAATCCATCTGTAAACAACACATATCAGAAAATTCTTGATTATCATTTATGTGCAGCATATAATTACGGTTTAAATTTGAACAAAGCTAAAATGGTTAAAATTTTTATAACAACAAAGAAAGAGTTCAAAATATAATATCCGAAAACGATTTTTTCCCGGATATACAAATAATAAATTTCTATAAAAAAAAAAAAATATATATTATATTATGTATAATATTAATTATCAAAGTGTTTTTTGTGAAAATTGCATACCTAAAATATGTGCAAGCTGTATTTATGCACATCATATTCGCAATAGATTAAAAAATGGTTCATCTCTTTCATTTTCATACATAAACCAACTAAAAGCTTTAAATTAAATATAAATGATCGTATTAGTTGAATTTAAAAAGTATATTTAATAAATTCAGTTCAGTGATACTGTTATCAAAAAGCATCATATTTTTATGAATCTTTATATTTATATTTGTAATATATGAATCTTTTTGAATATTTATGAACCTTTTAACATCGTTATCATTAAAACTTCAATGCTTTGTCTAAATTTAAATCGTAATCATACATCGTGTAGAAACTTAAATAATCGAACTGAATGTATTATAGTTAAAACATAAATCATACGGACAATGTTACCCGGCTCATATTTCCAAAATTTAAGTCTCAATTCATCTCGACTAGCGGATCCATTTATATCTCTCGGAAAATTACTCTGTAATAATAACATTTCTCTTTCAAGAACCTACTTAGTACCGTGTCAGGGCGTAATATTATATTCGGCCCTTACGTTAGAACATTGATATCACAACTTGGGATTAAGCCGCAAGCCGATTAAGTGGAAATCCTCGCGGTATAACCAGGCAAGGACCGAATATGGAAACTTGGAGAATCTGGAATTTGGAATGCGTATATTACATATAGTGTCTCTCTTAGTGTTCATCTCCGGATTAACATCCGCAAAGCAGCGGGCAGAAAGCACGTTGAGAAACGTCAAGGACATTCGCTTGTGACGGCCGTTACGAGAAAGCTCGCTCTCTCTCTCTCTCTCTCTCTCTCTCCTTATTCTACCTTTGCGCTGGTAACAATGTTCTCACGCAACTACCTGGTGCATAGACATAATATATCTAGACCGAGCGTTTGCCTTTATTTAAGAAGTGGGGGTAAAGATACACGTAGAAAAGGACATACTCTGTTTCGTGCCCCTTGCGTTCTCTCTCGCTCGCACAGAGCATAGCGCTCTCTTTCGTCATGCTACGTGCGAGCGAGAGAGAACGCAAGGAGCACGAAACAGAGTATGTCCTTTTCTACGTGCACCTCGGCTCCCACTCCTCAACACTCGGTCTAGATATACTATGTCTATGACCTGGTGCATGTATGCAGCATTACCTATCTCAAATACGAGACAATGTAGAACGTTTGAGGTCGAGAGATATCTTCGTATATATATGCGAGACACATCAGTTTCGCCGAGAGTATCACATTTTTAAAAAATCGACGGAATTAATTGTCCCGGACATTTTCGAGATACCAAATGTTTAATTTACATTGCAAATTTACATTACAAACAAAAAATCAAAAGCATTTCCTGCAAAAATAAAAATTGCCGCGATTGATATCGAAATAAATATACGTGAGCGGTTCGTCAAGGTTGACCCAGAATTTTTAATACAATTCCCAATAAAATAAAAATTATAGGTCAATCTTGAACCATGTGATATATTTAATTTAAATCGATTATATTTCTAGCGTAAAAAATAATGTCTTATATATTATTTGTTTTTTGTCATTTCTATCTTGAGAAAAAAGGTATATTTTATTTGAACGTTTAGATTTTTCTATTTGCCAACGCGTAGAATTTTGTACAGGATAGCATTGCGCACGAAATCTCAAAGACAGATAAAGAACAAAAGCAATAAGATATAGCGAGAGAAATGCGATCAGACCGCGGGACAAACTTCGTTCTGAACTTTATCTTTGCGAATAGAATGACGGAATTGAAACGTTGGATATATATAATAGGGTAAAATGAAAAAAAAACACTCACCGTTCTTTTCAAGTAAGATCAAACTCGGATTCGATCTCCTCGAGAAAGAGGCTCGAAATTTCCCATTCGTAAAAAAAATACTCCACGCTCGGCTCTCGCGCGACGAGATAGAAAGTAACTCGTCATTTGGGAGGGAAAAGAGAAATTTTTGTTATCGGTATTGTCATCTTTACGATTCGTATGCGTCGCAAGTGAACTCAGGAATCATCTCAATCATAGACGCATTCGTCTTTGTACATTTTTCTCTGGGAACACGGCGATCCCTAACGAATAGCTCGTTGAAATGGGTCACGAACGGAGATGAAAAAAAGCGTTGTTCTTTGTTCTATTCTTTCAGCCCCGTCGTCCTGTTCTAAACATGGAATTCTTTTCGGCTGCCACGTTGGGCTTATTACATCATACGAATGTGACGGCTCATAAATGTATTATTCTCCTTCATTGTGAATCGCAATAGCGCGCACTCAGAATGGGCAGAAAAGTCTTGTCGCAATTTAATCCGAGAATCTCGGTCCAATTTAATGTTCCCCTCTCTCTCTCTCTCCCATATAAATTTTTAGGTAAGAGTCCATCTCTACGTTTAATATATTATTAAACTCTCATTAGAAGGTTTATGCGATGGCTCGCGTAATCATGGAAGTTTCCATCATTATCCATCTACCTCGAGTTCATTAGGCGTTTCTGTTTGCAAAAAAAATTTTACGTACATACGCGTAAAAATTCTAAATTATCGTATAATTTCCTTTGACGTTATTAGATATCGTCCGCGTGTTTTTCCCGAGATTTTTCAAGAAAACGACTTGCACGAATACATCGGCTCTCGGAGGCGTAAAGACGGAATCGCTCGACGGTGTTTGAAGGGAGGTCGCTGTAATTTTGCGGGCGACATGATTCTGACATACCGCCGGGATTTGATCCTACTACATATATCGTATCTCGCGTGAAATAGCCTGACTACTGGATATTAGAAAATGGATTTCGCGACCGCTTTCATCGCCTTATTGTCTGACCTTCCCGATCCTCCACACGAACTTCCATTTGTCGAAATTGCAGGAAGACACGCTGCACTTCTACCCTCCTTTTTCATTCTTATAGTGCTAGTAATCTTTGCTCACAATCAGTAATATGAGTTTTACGATTTGATCTGCCTCTCTCTCTCTCTCTTTTTCTCTCTCTATTTCTCAAAAAGAAATCAAATGTATATATGTATATATTAATGCGCTTGCCTACGGCAAAGGTTTAAAGCTTCCCGAGGTGCATCAGTTGCGTAAACATGATTTCATCTATCTATGATATTATCATCTCATACTTCTTTTTGCGTCCCGCTTTCGCGTCTTCCTCGTTCGAGGACACATTTTCGCAACGCCTTGTCTCTGAAAAAGAAAACTGACTGATGCTGACGCTCTGCCTGATCTATTATCTCTCCCGATACAGTCTGTCTCTTTAAGGAAAATTTGTCGCAAAATTCCATCTAAAATTCTCCGATACATCGCGCATGATATCATTCTCTTAGCAATTTAGCACCTAATTTTATATTTTAGTGAAAGTAATAGCGTAATTTTAGGTTCTACAACATTATATATGCTCTTGATTATGACGATTATATTATTTTTTATACTCTTATATATATATCTGAAAAAAAAAAATCTTAAATAAGAAATATAATAATGATATTTAAAAAAATAATATTTTAATCGATCTGTATTTAATCAAAATGATTTAATTAGATCATATGTAACTTTAACTTTCTTTATCGATTACAATTTTTAATATGAACTTTGTTTTAGGTACATGGCCATTGTAAATCCTTTGAGACCACGTATGGGAAAGAAGGCAACGCTGTGCGTTGCAATCGTTATCTGGATCGTCGGGGCAATACTTTCTTTACCGATGCTGCTTTTCTATACCACTTACACCCAGAACTTTATGAACGGTGAGGTCCGTGTCATCTGCTATAGCGATTGGCCAAACAGAGATGCTAATGGGCTCAGTTACGACGAATATTTGTAAGTCGAATATCTTAATAATAGACATATATATATACATATTTGCACAAACTCTTTAGCATTTATATATTTTATAAATCATTTAATTGCTTTTACAAAACTTATTTCTCTATAATCGATATAGAAATTCCTTCGTGAAACATTTATCGAACGACTTGTTTAAAATTGTAAACGTCTCGCATCTTGTCTATGCCATACGCGTATAAATAAACCATTATTCTACGCATATTACAATTAATTGCGTAATTGTAGTTAATGCATTTTTAAGCATATAAGCTCGAAAGAGCGTGAAGAGTAAAGTATCGCGAGTCCTCAAAATACGTGTGTTCCATTCGTGCAATCAAATCGGCTTTGATCGGGTTATAATTATAGATCAAGATCTGTTCCACATTTGTGTTCTGTACGATAGTACATTGAGATAGGGTCGCGAAAACGTTTCGTCAAGATAACGCGCTCGCCCCGAGGCGAGTTTCCTGTTTCCTAATTGAAAGATTCGGACACGTTATAGTTCGAAACCCATCCGACTATCGTGCTTAGCACGTCATGTATAAAATCACGCACGCGACCGAAGAATTTCTAATTCCCGCTATAAACGCTGTTTCGAACGGCCATTAATTCCCTAAATAATTTGCGTCACTTAATCAAAGCTTCTGCGATTCTAGATATCCATCGTTCTAAATCTCGATCCGTTCTAAGAATTTCTCCGAGCCTGCAATTGCGAGACTCACACGACCACTCGAAGCTCGTTCATTTTGTTCTTCGCTCGATTATCTTTAATTGTCCAAAGTGTAACAGGACCGTCGTTTCATCGTTTGATCGATACAAAAAGATCCGTCTAAATTGACCCCTCGAAACTCAACGGAGATTGAGACTCTCTTTAAGCTCATCCGAGCACTTCCACCGTTTTCGTCAATGAAAGTTTGTCTCTTTTAAGCTGCGTGCACATTGGCAAGAGATAATCCATAAAATTGAATTTATATTAGTATATCGAGTATATAATTTCGTCATAAACCACATTTTATAAACTATATATAGATATACTGTCTCTCTGCGACTTTATACGCTCTGAATTACGCGAGATGTAAAACTTTATTTCACGTTGTACGAGTTATCGCAGATAAAAAATTAATCGAAAATTCATCATGGTTCAACGTGATCAAGCTTACGGAAGCATTACAGATTACCATATAGACCACCTATGTTTTTCGCTTTTTACGATCATCTCAAATAAATTATCCAAAAATTCACGCACTTGTAAACAAACAGCGTTATTAAAAAACGTGCAATTTTATGTAACGCGAAACGCATATCATTATTCAACAAAACGCATAATTAATGGTTCATCTGTTTCCCTTTTGTATGCAATTTCAAGATGCAATTTTCACATTCCAGCTAATCTGCATGTATTATCATAGGATTGGCTTACTCTCGATATTGCTAAGATTTTCCGAATACATTTTCTCTCCTTTCAGACAAAGATTCCCAGGCATAGTATAATTCCCGCATTAAGTGCAGCGGAAGCAAATTTGTATAAATGTCGATATTAACGCGGCGAGAAACGTCATTCATATCAATCGTTTCTCGAATATTCCGGGATCCGTTCGTTCACCGCCATTAAACACGCTTACGATCGCCTTTTCTTTACGCCCTTATAGCCTTCTGTGGCCTAATAAAATACGCGTCGACGTGTTTTAAATCAAGATTACGCGAGTGAAAGCCGGTGAATTCGCGCGTCGGCGGTTTTTATTCGAATCAACACCGATGTTCGCAAGCGAGAAATCACGTGGGTGCTGGAAATTTCAGTTACTGTGAGTTGTGCTCGTGATACCTCGTAATCTGATTGCAGCGCGGGTGCGGTAATCCATTAATGAACTCATTATCGTTTGTTAATCATTCTAACGCTGAATACGTTTTAACGTACTTGTTCAGATAAGCTAGATGCTCGCGGTTGAACAATTAATAGCTGTTAGCATCGCTTTTGTATCTTAATTAACGTAATTAATGCATGCGTAGATAGAAGAGGATTAGCTTTGATTAGAAACATCGAGGAAAATGATGGTAATTTAGTCAACGCGCCTCTTACATTAGCGTCTCTCGCAATAAGTGAATTAAAAATATGAATATATTTTTATTGCTCTTAAAATACTTGCTCGCTTAAAATATTCAAATCTCTTGAATCTTTAGAATTCAGCCCGTGATCATCTCGCAAATTGTATCTAACGAAAAATTATTACTTTAACAAGCTTTTCATATTATTCGTTTAAATGTCCTCTTTCCCGCTATAAATTTCAATAGCGATGCTGCAAATCGATACTTGTATCTGGTTCGCTGAAGATTACCAGTAATTATACGATTATCGTTAGCCGCGCAACATGTAAATGATTACACGTTTCGAAAACGCTGCGATCTCAACGTAATCATCGTTCGACCAATTGTAATTTAATAATACCATTGATACGCTTCGGTCGATGGCAAACAACAATCTGGGATATGCGCACATCGTTTGTCACTTCATTAGGTCTAATAATATGTACACTCGCCATAATATCCGTCACGTCACGCGGTGATCGATAATCGCGGCTGGTGAATTATTTTCATCGAAATCGGCGCCTCCGAAAGCGCGTCAGAGATGGTGCTTTTAAACGAAAGCACGATACCGCGATATTTTCATTCCCTTTGAGCATCGCGTGTCACGGCCTCTCTTTCGCCTCTCTCCGTTTAACGTAAATTTATTATATCGAGAGTGCGCTACCACACTCGAAATAAAACACATGATTCAGCGAAATATCGACACAGATAAATTGGACTGTGTGAACCGTAAATTACACCATTGAATATGATCAATATGTTAAATATCTGATGACGCAAATCTGAAATTGAGATTACCTTAATGAGAATTTCATTGCGGCCTATTACTTCTACAACATTTTTAATTTCCGATTCAAGACTTCTGCAGTGCAATTAAACGTTAAATTACATTTTCCTGCTAAGGAAAAGCCAAGGGGCACGAAACAGAGTATGTCCTTTTCTACGTGCACCTCGGCTCCCACTCCTCAACACTCGGTCTAGATATACTATGTCTATGACCTGGTGCATGTATGCAGCATTACCTATCTCAAATACGAGACAATGTAGAACGTTTGAGGTCGAGAGATATCTTCGTATATATATGCGAGACACATCAGTTTCGCCGAGAGTATCACATTTTTAAAAAATCGACGGAATTAATTGTCCCGGACATTTTCGAGATACCAAATGTTTAATTTACATTGCAAATTTACATTACAAACAAAAAATCAAAAGCATTTCCTGCAAAAATAAAAATTGCCGCGATTGATATCGAAATAAATATACGTGAGCGGTTCGTCAAGGTTGACCCAGAATTTTTAATACAATTCCCAATAAAATAAAAATTATAGGTCAATCTTGAACCATGTGATATATTTAATTTAAATCGATTATATTTCTAGCGTAAAAAATAATGTCTTATATATTATTTGTTTTTTGTCATTTCTATCTTGAGAAAAAAAGGTATATTTTATTTGAACGTTTAGATTTTTCTATTTGCCAACGCGTAGAATTTTGTACAGGATAGCATTGCGCACGAAATCTCAAAGACAGATAAAGAACAAAAGCAATAAGATATAGCGAGAGAAATGCGATCAGACCGCGGGACAAACTTCGTTCTGAACTTTATCTTTGCGAATAGAATGACGGAATTGAAACGTTGGATATATATAATAGGGTAAAATGAAAAAAAAACACTCACCGTTCTTTTCAAGTAAGATCAAACTCGGATTCGATCTCCTCGAGAAAGAGGCTCGAAATTTCCCATTCGTAAAAAAAATACTCCACGCTCGGCTCTCGCGCGACGAGATAGAAAGTAACTCGTCATTTGGGAGGGAAAAGAGAAATTTTTGTTATCGGTATTGTCATCTTTACGATTCGTATGCGTCGCAAGTGAACTCAGGAATCATCTCAATCATAGACGCATTCGTCTTTGTACATTTTTCTCTGGGAACACGGCGATCCCTAACGAATAGCTCGTTGAAATGGGTCACGAACGGAGATGAAAAAAAGCGTTGTTCTTTGTTCTATTCTTTCAGCCCCGTCGTCCTGTTCTAAACATGGAATTCTTTTCGGCTGCCACGTTGGGCTTATTACATCATACGAATGTGACGGCTCATAAATGTATTATTCTCCTTCATTGTGAATCGCAATAGCGCGCACTCAGAATGGGCAGAAAAGTCTTGTCGCAATTTAATCCGAGAATCTCGGTCCAATTTAATGTTCCCCTCTCTCTCTCTCTCCCATATAAATTTTTAGGTAAGAGTCCATCTCTACGTTTAATATATTATTAAACTCTCATTAGAAGGTTTATGCGATGGCTCGCGTAATCATGGAAGTTTCCATCATTATCCATCTACCTCGAGTTCATTAGGCGTTTCTGTTTGCAAAAGAAATTTTACGTACATACGCGTAAAAATTCTAAATTATCGTATAATTTCCTTTGACGTTATTAGATATCGTCCGCGTGTTTTTCCCGAGATTTTTCAAGAAAACGACTTGCACGAATACATCGGCTCTCGGAGGCGTAAAGACGGAATCGCTCGACGGTGTTTGAAGGGAGGTCGCTGTAATTTTGCGGGCGACATGATTCTGACATACCGCCGGGATTTGATCCTACTACATATATCGTATCTCGCGTGAAATAGCCTGACTACTGGATATTAGAAAATGGATTTCGCGACCGCTTTCATCGCCTTATTGTCTGACCTTCCCGATCCTCCACACGAACTTCCATTTGTCGAAATTGCAGGAAGACACGCTGCACTTCTACCCTCCTTTTTCATTCTTATAGTGCTAGTAATCTTTGCTCACAATCAGTAATATGAGTTTTACGATTTGATCTGCCTCTCTCTCTCTCTCTTTTTCTCTCTCTATTTCTCAAAAAGAAATCAAATGTATATATGTATATATTAATGCGCTTGCCTACGGCAAAGGTTTAAAGCTTCCCGAGGTGCATCAGTTGCGTAAACATGATTTCATCTATCTATGATATTATCATCTCATACTTCTTTTTGCGTCCCGCTTTCGCGTCTTCCTCGTTCGAGGACACATTTTCGCAACGCCTTGTCTCTGAAAAAGAAAACTGACTGATGCTGACGCTCTGCCTGATCTATTATCTCTCCCGATACAGTCTGTCTCTTTAAGGAAAATTTGTCGCAAAATTCCATCTAAAATTCTCCGATACATCGCGCATGATATCATTCTCTTAGCAATTTAGCACCTAATTTTATATTTTAGTGAAAGTAATAGCGTAATTTTAGGTTCTACAACATTATATATGCTCTTGATTATGACGATTATATTATTTTTTATACTCTTATATATATATCTGAAAAAAAAAAATCTTAAATAAGAAATATAATAATGATATTTAAAAAAATAATATTTTAATCGATCTGTATTTAATCAAAATGATTTAATTAGATCATATGTAACTTTAACTTTCTTTATCGATTACAATTTTTAATATGAACTTTGTTTTAGGTACATGGCCATTGTAAATCCTTTGAGACCACGTATGGGAAAGAAGGCAACGCTGTGCGTTGCAATCGTTATCTGGATCGTCGGGGCAATACTTTCTTTGCCGATGCTGCTTTTCTATACCACTTACACCCAGAACTTTATGAACGGTGAGGTCCGTGTCATCTGCTATAGCGATTGGCCAAACAGAGATGCTAATGGGCTCAGTTACGACGAATATTTGTAAGTCGAATATCTTAATAATAGACATATATATATACATATTTGCACAAACTCTTTAGCATTTATATATTTTATAAATCATTTAATTGCTTTTACAAAACTTATTTCTCTATAATCGATATAGAAATTCCTTCGTGAAACATTTATCGAACGACTTGTTTAAAATTGTAAACGTCTCGCATCTTGTCTATGCCATACGCGTATAAATAAACCATTATTCTACGCATATTACAATTAATTGCGTAATTGTAGTTAATGCATTTTTAAGCATATAAGCTCGAAAGAGCGTGAAGAGTAAAGTATCGCGAGTCCTCAAAATACGTGTGTTCCATTCGTGCAATCAAATCGGCTTTGATCGGGTTATAATTATAGATCAAGATCTGTTCCACATTTGTGTTCTGTACGATAGTACATTGAGATAGGGTCGCGAAAACGTTTCGTCAAGATAACGCGCTCGCCCCGAGGCGAGTTTCCTGTTTCCTAATTGAAAGATTCGGACACGTTATAGTTCGAAACCCATCCGACTATCGTGCTTAGCACGTCATGTATAAAATCACGCACGCGACCGAAGAATTTCTAATTCCCGCTATAAACGCTGTTTCGAACGGCCATTAATTCCCTAAATAATTTGCGTCACTTAATCAAAGCTTCTGCGATTCTAGATATCCATCGTTCTAAATCTCGATCCGTTCTAAAAATTTCTCCGAGCCTGCAATTGCGAGACTCACACGACCACTCGAAGCTCGTTCATTTTGTTCTTCGCTCGATTATCTTTAATTGTCCAAAGTGTAACAGGACCGTCGTTTCATCGTTTGATCGATACAAAAAGATCCGTCTAAATTGACCCCTCGAAACTCAACGGAGATTGAGACTCTCTTTAAGCTCATCCGAGCACTTCCACCGTTTTCGTCAATGAAAGTTTGTCTCTTTTAAGCTGCGTGCACATTGGCAAGAGATAATCCATAAAATTGAATTTATATTAGTATATCGAGTATATAATTTCGTCATAAACCACATTTTATAAACTATATATAGATATACTGTCTCTCTGCGACTTTATACGCTCTGAATTACGCGAGATGTAAAACTTTATTTCACGTTGTACGAGTTATCGCAGATAAAAAATTAATCGAAAATTCATCATGGTTCAACGTGATCAAGCTTACGGAAGCATTACAGATTACCATATAGACCACCTATGTTTTTCGCTTTTTACGATCATCTCAAATAAATTATCCAAAAATTCACGCACTTGTAAACAAACAGCGTTATTAAAAAACGTGCAATTTTATGTAACGCGAAACGCATATCATTATTCAACAAAACGCATAATTAATGGTTCATCTGTTTCCCTTTTGTATGCAATTTCAAGATGCAATTTTCACATTCCAGCTAATCTGCATGTATTATCATAGGATTGGCTTACTCTCGATATTGCTAAGATTTTCCGAATACATTTTCTCTCCTTTCAGACAAAGATTCCCAGGCATAGTATAATTCCCGCATTAAGTGCAGCGGAAGCAAATTTGTATAAATGTCGATATTAACGCGGCGAGAAACGTCATTCATATCAATCGTTTCTCGAATATTCCGGGATCCGTTCGTTCACCGCCATTAAACACGCTTACGATCGCCTTTTTTTTACGCCCTTATAGCCTTCTGTAGCTTAAGAAAATACGCGTCGACGTGTTTTAAATCAAGATTACGCGAGTGAAAGCCGGTGAATTCGCGCGTCGGCGGTTTTTATTCGAATCAACACCGATGTTCGCAAGCGAGAAATCACGTGGGTGCTGGAAATTTCAGTTACTGTGAGTTGTGCTCGTGATACCTCGTAATCTGATTGCAGCGCGGGTGCGGTAATCCATTAATGAACTCATTATCGTTTGTTAATCATTCTAACGCTGAATACGTTTTAACGTACTTGTTCAGATAAGCTAGATGCTCGCGGTTGAACAATTAATAGCTGTTAGCATCGCTTTTGTATCTTAATTAACGTAATTAATGCATGCGTAGATAGAAGAGGATTAGCTTTGATTAGAAACATCGAGGAAAATGATGGTAATTTAGTCAACGCGCCTCTTACATTAGCGTCTCTCGCAATAAGTGAATTAAAAATATGAATATATTTTTATTGCTCTTAAAATACTTGCTCGCTTAAAATATTCAAATCTCTTGAATCTCGTAATTAATGCATGCGTAGATAGAAGAGGATTAGCTTTGATTAGAAACATCGAGGAAAATGATGGTAATTTAGTCAACGCGCCTCTTACATTAGCGTCTCTCGCAATAAGTGAATTAAAAATATGTGTGAATATATTTATTGCTCTTAAAATACTTGCTCACTTAAAATATTCAAATCTCTTGAATCTTTAGAATTCAGCCCGTGATCATCTCGCAAATTGTATCTAACGAAAAATTATTACAGCGTTATTAAAAAACGTGCAATTTTATGTAACGCGAAACGCATATCATTATTCAACAAAACGCATAATTAATGGTTCATCTGTTTCCCTTTTGTATGCAATTTCAAGATGCAATTTTCACATTCCAGCTAATCTGCATGTATTATCATAGGATTGGCTTACTCTCGATATTGCTAAGATTTTCCGAATACATTTTCTCTCCTTTCAGACAAAGATTCCCAGGCATAGTATAATTCCCGCATTAAGTGCAGCGGAAGCAAATTTGTATAAATGTCGATATTAACGCGGCGAGAAACGTCATTCATATCAATCGTTTCTCGAATATTCCGGGATCCGTTCGTTCACCGCCATTAAACACGCTTACGATCGCCTTTTTTTTACGCCCTTATAGCCTTCTGTAGCTTAAGAAAATACGCGTCGACGTGTTTTAAATCAAGATTACGCGAGTGAAAGCCGGTGAATTCGCGCGTCGGCGGTTTTTATTCGAATCAACACCGATGTTCGCAAGCGAGAAATCACGTGGGTGCTGGAAATTTCAGTTACTGTGAGTTGTGCTCGTGATACCTCGTAATCTGATTGCAGCGCGGGTGCGGTAATCCATTAATGAACTCATTATCGTTTGTTAATCATTCTAACGCTGAATACGTTTTAACGTACTTGTTCAGATAAGCTAGATGCTCGCGGTTGAACAATTAATAGCTGTTAGCATCGCTTTTGTATCTTAATTAACGTAATTAATGCATGCGTAGATAGAAGAGGATTAGCTTTGATTAGAAACATCGAGGAAAATGATGGTAATTTAGTCAACGCGCCTCTTACATTAGCGTCTCTCGCAATAAGTGAATTAAAAATATGAATATATTTTTATTGCTCTTAAAATACTTGCTCGCTTAAAATATTCAAATCTCTTGAATCTTTAGAATTCAGCCCGTGATCATCTCGCAAATTGTATCTAACGAAAAATTATTACTTTAACAAGCTTTTCATATTATTCGTTTAAATGTCCTCTTTCCCGCTATAAATTTCAATAGCGATGCTGCAAATCGATACTTGTATCTGGTTCGCTGAAGATTACCAGTAATTATACGATTATCGTTAGCCGCGCAACATGTAAATGATTACACGTTTCGAAAACGCTGCGATCTCAACGTAATCATCGTTCGACCAATTGTAATTTAATAATACCATTGATACGCTTCGGTCGATGGCAAACAACAATCTGGGATATGCGCACATCGTTTGTCACTTCATTAGGTCTAATAATATGTACACTCGCCATAATATCCGTCACGTCACGCGGTGATCGATAATCGCGGCTGGTGAATTATTTTCATCGAAATCGGCGCCTCCGAAAGCGCGTCAGAGATGGTGCTTTTAAACGAAAGCACGATACCGCGATATTTTCATTCCCTTTGAGCATCGCGTGTCACGGCCTCTCTTTCGCCTCTCTCCGTTTAACGTAAATTTATTATGTCGAGAGTGCGCTACCACACTCGAAATAAAACACATGATTCAGCGAAATATCGACACAGATAAATTGGACTGTGTGAACCGTAAATTACACCATTGAATATGATCAATATGTTAAATATCTGATGACGCAAATCTGAAATTGAGATTACCTTAATGAGAATTTCATTGCGGCCTATTACTTCTACAACATTTTTAATTTCCGATTCAAGACTTCTGCAGTGCAATTAAACGTTAAATTACATTTTCCTGCTAAGGAAAAGCGAAATTAATTGGAAAACAGAATCTTTTCTGTTTAAGCTCTTGAAGCTTTCAAGGCATCAAGATACTTTAATTGATATCGAGTTAAAATAATGCAATCTTAGCTTTCTAGCTAAGGAAGAGTCGACTGTAATTTTTTCAGAGGCGATGATTAGAAAGAAAAGTCTATTTCTCAAGACGCTCTGTAAAATTTTGATATGTCAAAAAAATAAATATTTTCTCGTGCGAGTAATGTGTATGACTCCCTAATCGATTTTCAGGTACAACGTTATCTTTATGATACTGACGTACTTTTTACCAATCGGATCCATGACATTCACATACGCCAGGGTCGGCCTGGAATTGTGGGGCTCGCAGAGCATCGGCGAAGCCACAGCCAGACAGCTCGAAAACATTCGAAGCAAACGAAGGGTATGTATCGCGTATATAAAATAAAAATATCCGCATACAATCAGGTGTTGAAATTGCTTTCATTTCATCGAAAGAAACGTTTAATCGAAAGGCGATTTGCAACAGCAAAAAAGTTTCCTCTTCTCTGTCCGTTTTTTAAATAAAGATGAGATATTCTATTAAATATTAAAGAAAAAATAAATTGTTCTCGCTCTAAATATTCATGAACAAAGGAAAGATAGATGTTGATAAATTTCGTAAATTCGGGATAAGGTTTATTATACATTCAATGGTACTTAAATAATTAAAATTCAGTGTCATATATCATATATATGCCACTCTTTTTCCTTAATATTTTCCGAATACTAGATAAATATTACAAATCACAAATACCTAAGTTATTTATATAAAGCGAATTTTATTGTATTTTAATGATTCGTATGATTATTTATATCGTTCATATCGATCCATCATATCGTTGTTTATCTTTATAACGATATTACAACATACGTTAAGAGAAAAATAGCATTATTGGACTATATGCAGCGAGCGAGGTGATATGATAGCGATCATATGACGCATTTCGCTCACAGTCGTTCCGCTCCATCACCGTCAATGGATATTTCATCGAAAGCTCCGATCTTTTATTTCCTTCGAACGTATCCATGATCGTCAAATTGAGTTTGCCTAACGTTAATTTTTGAGAAATGAATAACATCCGCGATCGGCCAAAGTTCTAAAAATTGCGATCCATCAATAATTGATAAATAACGTACAAATCGATTGCGAAACGCGCGCGATGCCACACATAATCGCGTAATAAACATCAGATCCGGAAGTGCATGTGGGGCAGAGCATTAAGATTCGCACGAAACGATAATATTCCGTAACCTGATGATATTGGCTTTATCCGAACCTCGTAAACTCGGCTTATCGGTGCTGTTTCACTAGCTGTGGAGGGTAAAGGGAAAAGAGAGAGGATTCCACGGTTTCTTCCCTTATGAATAACATTAGCGATTCTCCAATAATATCCTGATGGCAATGCGTTACGCGTAGGAATTCCAAAATTTGTCCTTGTCTTTTCTTATCTCTTAACGGCTCTATGATAATTTTTACTGTTTGTATGATGGATGAACGAATTATACACACGGCTCTCTCGTTGAGGTCGTACAGCTAAAAAACAAATACTTATCTACTTACAACGCAAGTAGAAAAATTATGCAAAAGATACACAGAATGTCCGAATCTACTGCGCGATTTCTTCAGATGCATAGATTATAGACACACTGTGTACAAATCTCATTTTATAAACAGCAATTAATGATATTTATATATTTAATTTTCGCGAACATTTTTCAGTTGAAAAAGATTATTTATATGGAGCTTACAATTAGTATGAGCGATTATATTTTATTTTCATATTTTGCTGCATGCGAGAGGAGATAGCAAATGTCATTATGACGCAACGGTAATTCCGCTGCAACTTAAGACCTCTTTCTAATTGGGTACAATTTGCAATGATGTCCGCGCTTAACTGCGGATCGAAGATCACACGTATATATACGCGAGGAGCGACTGTGTGCAGTCGCTAAAATACTACAGAGACACGGGGTTTGAATCTGGAGCCGTAACTTGTAATTAGACTGCCCGACCTGCATCTCTGCTCGGACACATCGCGGGCCTTTTACTTCTGACGCTTTGACTTTAACTCCTGACTACTCTCAGTCAATAAAGCTCGCAGGAGGAAGTTTCATCTGTTCACTGCAGGCAATAATACGACGTAGAAGCGCTTAGCTAATTCTGGTCGCAGGAAGAAATAGAGATAGAAAAGGAAGAGTAGTGCTAGTCCCCTCAAGGGATGCGATTTTTTTGTCTTCGAGAGAAATATTCGTGCGATTTAATTTGCTCGCGCGATATAAGCGACGAATATCGATCGCCTCGACATATGTCCATTGTGTAATTTGTGTTTCGCGATCATGGAAAATAAATTACGGAGATACACGTTTCTTACGTTTGCCGTTGCCTTTATTACACGAACGCTGCAATATTGCGCGAGCGAGAAAATAAATGAAACGTAATTATCGGATATAAAAGTGACCGTCATGTAATGGACGCGTCACATAATGAATTCGCGACAAGGAGCGCAAATCGATACAAATACAACAGCTGCATATTTTCTCGAACACAAGAAGTTACACCCGCGTAATTCAATGCTAACACGTCCGATAAACGAACACGATACGCATTTATGTAACTAATCTCAGAAATCTGTAATAAAAACTGCCGTAGTTTTTTTATAAGAATTTGTTTTAATTTGAAAATCGTCAAATTGAAATTATTGATCAGCCACCAATTAAAAATTACGTTAGTTGACAACTTTATCTTTCTCACGTTCTTAAAAATTAAAAAAAAAATATTTAAAAGAAACCATACATTAACACTTTGCATGCGCAATAAAGTCTATTACAAATCTAATAAGTAATTAATCATTGTTACGACCTTGTTTTTTCTCGATAAGAATATGCGCAAAGGTGCCGAGAGCGATAATGGAGATAATAAAGGTAGCTGTGTGCGCATAACTTGGTGAAGTGGAAAATGAATCAGCTATTTTAGCTGTTTGGTTTTTAATTATAATTTCTATTTCACGCGCAGAGCTCCCAGTTTTTGCTCGTACACGTAGGACCGCATAGAGCATAGATTATAGATAATGGTAACTTAAACAGCTTATATATATCTCATAATTAAAATATATATCTAGAAATAAAATTGTAAAATCCAATGTGGGAGGAATAAAGTTTAAATGTGGAATCTTATATTGTTTTATATATTTTCAAGCAATTCTGATAAGTACCATGTATAAAACATTTAGAGGCGGCTTTGCATTTCGAATAATTCATAAACCCATTATTATTCATCTACGTTTGTCGAAGGAAAAACCCTTTAATTCGACTGACAATTCGCGGAAGAGAAAAGGGAGATTATATAACAATAAGCCGCGCGCGCGTGAGTTCAAGGAGAATCTAGTTTAAGCTATCCTTCTCGGCATGTTTAAGCGCGGCAAGAGCCCCATTGGATTTCGATTAGACGACAAAAGGCGTCTGCTCTGCCATATTCGGAATCGCTGCTCCATTCCGTCACATATCGTATCGACGCAATGTTCCGACCGCCGACATACAGGCGTGCGGGTTTCACGTCCGTCACAGAGTCAGTCCGTGTATTACAAGTGGCACCCCGAGTCCTTATGTAGACATACCGTACGATATGTGTGGACACAAACGGCCGGTATATCTCCTATGGTAGAGACCGTGGTGTATCACAACAGCCGCGATATAGCTACTCTATCGTTTGGCACACAAGCATAATATTTATACTTGTTATCTATATATATTTCTATTCTTAAAAAAAAAAAAAAAATACTAGCGCGATCTTTTTGTATCTCTTTAATAAGTTCTCTCTTGAGATATAATTTGTTTGAAAACGGAAACTGTTTCATTCGGCGGAATTCGGTTTAGTCAAATGATATAAGCCGCCCCTTCCGTTAAATTTACATACGAATGGAGCAAAGCTATAAAGCTTTTCATTATTGCGTATCGTTTATATTTCCCTTCTCAGTTCTTAGGTAACTGTCAGAAACGGTACCCGTAAAAAATTTAAAAGCTCTCAATCATATGATATTTGAAATACACAGGGAATATGTGTGGTTTAAAGAAGGTGAGCGCGAAACATAAGCTGAAAGAAGAAAAGTACTTGAGCTCCTCGGAGTGCCACTTTTAAATTTAAATTGCGAATATGTTTAAAACGCACTTAAGCTTGTTGTACATTTGCAATGTTTCCATTAGCCTTTAAAACGTTATGCATCAAATATGTGTATTTTGTTCCACATATTTGTACAAAATTGATTTATTTCATGCTTCGCTAAATACGAGAATGATAAGAATTAGATGTGATTCATTTTCTTGAATGTATGGCGATTAGGCAATTAAATCTTATCTCTACTTAATCAAATCTTCAATGAAAAAAAAAGTAAGCAATTCTCGAAACATTACCATAAATTTTTCGATACTTGAATTAAACATTGATTAAATTTTTTTTATAGTCTTCGACAATCATATTTCTTTTACACCCTTATGCGTCGCGAAAGAACATAGAGTCTCCGAGACTCTCGTATCGGACGTGTATTCAATTCACGTCAGGGAAATACAAGGAACGGAAACGGTGAAGTGTAAATGTGCACGCTATTACAAACCTGTGAGAATAATGGAACTAATAGCGAGGATAGCCTCTGACGTTGTGTGAGGAAGAAAGGATAGATGTCGGTTAATATGACCAGTCGTATCGGAACGCACTACTTCCTTGACCTTAATTAGACTTACCCGACAGCCATGCGCAGCATCCGTTCTCCTTCCGGATAAGTTACGGCGAATGGATATGGTCCGTGAGCCGAATTGTATAGTCGGTTTTCCTCTTATTTTGGGAACCCTGATCAATGAAACCAATTCTTTTCGTTCAATTGCCGGAAGAATCCGCATCGATAGAAATCCGCTAATTTCTCTTGCCATTCGGGTCTCTTGGATTGTGGCTCTTTCTTTCTGAAAGTAAACGCAATTATACGCGAACGATTAATCATTATATAATTCCGAACTGACACGCTTTCCTCGATTTTAGTCAAATTTGAGGATAAAAAATTTCGAAATATTTTATTAATATTATGCAGATATAATGCAAAATTATATGCCCTTTATCGATTTTTTTTTCATCCACGTACTTATTCATTAGTCACACTTGAAGAAAATGTGAGTAAAATTATTAGAGAAAAAAACAAAGAAAAGAGAGAGGAAGATAAATTATACAAGACAGTTTTTAAGCGCTATTCAACATTCATTGTTTGCCGCGAACAAAATGCTGGTGCGATTACCATGGATTTTTCTAGCGAGGAAGAAAAATGCAGATTCTTACTCGACTTTGTAAAGAATGTGGGATAGAAGCAACAAGAATGCTGAGCGTATCGCAAAGCCTCCCAGACCGAAGGTCGACATAAATATTCGGATGAAATATCACGGTCCGTTGCGCTATAGTAATTTTTCGAGCGTATTTGCACCGGAATATTAAAGTCGTCTATTTCAATGTAAATTGACGATGCGTATACATTGATTTTATTATAGATTATAATCATATAAATCACACAATTCCCTCCGTATATCTGATTCAAATCATGTATATACACACACGTGAGAAGAATAAAAATCTATCTTTCAATTATCTAAAGAAGATAATGAAGTATAACTTGTAACTATCCTAAGAAATCCAATTTAAGTTATTTCTCAAGTAGCTGTCCTCTGCAAGCTGTCTTCGTCTGATTACAAGAACTATACCCTGTGCGACATGGAATAGGTCGTTAATTTCAAAAGAAAAGAAATAATCTTTCACCAAATGGTCAAGAGTGCAATATAAGTAACGCGAAAAAAAGGATAAGAAGAAACATCACAATAATAACAAAAGCGACGAAGGAGTTGACACGTTTCGAACACTTTGTTATCGCGAATTTAATCACTTATGCAACTCTTCGTGCGGAAAGTGCAAATTAAAAAATATTTATTGTAATGTGTGTTTTTTATGAATCAAAGCTGCCAGGATCGAAATAAAGATAATTTACCGAAATACAATCGATAGTTTTATTCTCGCGTTACACTAATAAATAATTAACGCGAAGCTTGTTAATTGCCTCGCTTTATCAAACAGGAAATTATAAATGCTTGAATTATTATCAATAATGCTGCTACTTGCAACATCATTCTAATTTACAAAATATCAAAGAAAAAGAGACAAGAAAACATCTGCAGAAAATTCTACGATAGACAGATAGTGGATACAATTACCGCTTGTTACTGCCGTTCTATAATTAAATCTTGCACGTCATTTCTAACCGTAATTAATCCATCCTGCGAATCCGCCTGTTATTTATCAATACGTTTTTCGCGGAATATTTAAATATTAAATATTTGAGGAAAATCCTTGTTCGCGGTATCGAGTATAATGAAATCTAACAGGTGTTTTCATTAAACTCATCGACAATTTAGCGATATAAAATTATACATTTTACACATATCTCTATTATGCTTTATAAAATAATTAAGCTCATTTGCATATTATCAACTGTTCCGAATGTAATGTTTTTATATTATAATCTCTTTAATTTAATCAGATATGTAAAGCTCATTGCTTTGCCTTGTCTCTCGTTATATTATTTGAACAATACAATTTAAGTAACATATAATTATAATTTAAGCACAATAATAAGTTAGCTCCAATTATTTATGATTGACTAAAATTTATGGCAAAATTGTGATATGAATTGTGTTAAATTGTGATATAATAGGAAGATAATTTTATCACGTGTTATCTACTTAATTCACTTTTGTAGATCTCTTATAATTATTAAATGTATGCAATATAAATTACTTCGTATATCACCGGTCTTCTTTTTCTTATGTTGACATCTTCATGATAATATTGGAAAGGTTTCGTAGAGAATCAATCGCGGATAAATGATCGACTTCTTAATAATTTTTCGACTGATAGAAAACTCTTTTTATTCCAGGTTGTAAAAATGATGATAGTCGTAGTAGTGATATTCGCAGTATGTTGGCTTCCGTTTCATATGTACTTCATAGTGACGTCCTATCTGCCAGAGATTACAAACGAACCGTATATCCAGGAGGTTTTTCTGGGCATTTATTGGTTGGCGATGTCCAATAGCATGTACAACCCGATAATTTATTGTTGGATGAATACCAGGTAAGAGATATTTATGCTTTTCTACTCGATTGTATTAAAAGTGCATCATCTCGTTGCTTCGTCACTCTCCCGACGATGTACATTTGTCTTATCAAATATATAAAATATATTACGTAATTTCGATATATTTATAACAAAAATTGAATTTTCGCCGTAACGCCGTTTATATAATTCCAGAGTTATTTCCCGAAAGTCCATCTTCTACTTCGTAAGATAAGCGAATACGTAGACATAGTATCGACAAATCCTCTCATTTATTAACAGAGTTCGCGAAAGTTTCCCTCTCGTCATTTCAGATATCGCGCTTCACTTCCTAAGTTTGTCTTTATCGCAATATCAAGGACCAACTTAAATTATTATCCTATGCTAATTAGCACGGATTTACACACACAAATTAAATACGGATTTCTGATCTACAAAATATATTCTTCCTGAATCATTCTGGAACTATGTGTATAAAATTAAATAATTCCTCGCTCTGAGAGAGTTCGAATCCCCCCCCCCCCTCTCTCTCCTTCCCTCTGTTTAGTATCATTTTTATATATCGCGTTTATTAAAGCGTGATATACATATACATTTCATTTTCAGATTCCATTACTACATTCAGTTACAACGTACTATTTTTCAAACCATCGAGATAAAAAATTCATCAAGCGAGATGTATTCGCATATCTATAAAACTATAGAGATCTGTAGAAATTAATTATATATTAGTCATTCATCGCGATCTTTGAATTAAGCTTTATTTTAAAGTTGTTAATTAAGAAAACCCGAGTGCCTGCGATTCATTTCACTACTTCGTCGAGAATGTTTGACGAACTGTCAGGAGTTAATCTAACGTAGCACAGAAGATAAGCTCATCCGGCTTTAGAGATACTTCTAGAGAGTAGACGGGAGACTGAAGTTATTAAGGAACACAGAAAATAACACCATTGCGCTGCCATTAATGCCGTTTACAAACGCGACCCACTTTGAATACCGAATATTTCCTTTCTCCTGGTTAATTGAAACGCGCGGTCAACTAGACCGAGATTCCGATAGAAAATATAAGCGATTCGTGTTCTCGCGGACGGGATGGATCGACATAAATGTTGTTTCATATATTGTATACATACATATGTTTCGATCTGTACTCGTGTATGCTTGAAAGACATCGTTAACCGAGGTAAAAGCCACGAATCTTCAGCGCGGTATCGAAATGATTTCGATTGTCCGCAAATGAAAATATGAATAGAGCGATGATCGTAACTCTGATCCCAAATATTTTTCTTTTACACGTCACACGCAGCGTACAGCGTTTTGTTTCTTTACTAACATTGCAAAAATTTACAATCCTGTAAAAAAGTGTCATGTCAAAAATAATAGAATACAAGATAATGTCTCGTCGCGCAAGATACGACTAGCGGATTTCAATTTTTTAATGTGCTATCGACAAAATATGTTTCGATTTTTATAAATATTTGCATAAAAAGTGATATATGTATTGTGTTCCTGCGCTTAGACCGCGGTCTCATAATAACAGTAAACAATAATAATAACATAATATGTGTTCTTTACGTAATAATTGGATTACTGTGCCTCATTTCTCTGTAATCCATGAACAGGATATTTCCCCGGAGAAAAAAATCAGGCAATTTTTATAACATACATTTCTTAGAAGATTTCTTCTTTCATGAATGTAACGTGCAAAAAGAAGATGGATCATGTAAAAGAACTTTGCGATCTACTATATTATAATTTACTTTTGCGGAAAGTTAAAGTGCTAAAATAAAATTAAAAAATAACATTTTTCTTGAAAAAATAGTGATTTTTGTAATGCATTTCTTAACACTTTTCGATCATTTTTCTTCGTTGTTCTTTTTCTCATAACATGAAAAAAAAAATAAACTATAAGAAAACTTTGCGATTACGGTTATTATGTTACAATTTTTTGAGAGAAATAAAAGTGTTAAGCTAAATTTATATGTGATATACGATTTGTATGATATGCAAATCGAATGACAGCGAAATATTTCCTCAGAGAAGTTAAATGCTTTATATTTATATGTATTATTTAGATTATTCGTTTCTCGCGGGGATATCATAGGACCTATATAAGAAAATTTTACAATCTACATCGACTATATTACAACTTCTTTTCGTGAGAGAAATAAAAGTGTTAAAACGGAAGTTATCATGCGATATATGGATCTCTGAATCAAATAATCTTGATTTATTATAAAAAAACCAGTCAATTTTTTATATTTATATCTTAAGATTTTACATATTCTTAAACAATATATAAAGAAATATATATCCGTATATAGTTATTGATGTTTTTCCAAGCGCGATAAGATCTTTTTTTAAGAAATAAAAATTAATTGGATCAGGATTATCCTTATATCGTGTGATATGATTTAATCTTCAAAATAAATTTGGAATTCTTCGCTATGCTAATCTCTCTGCGTGTTTTGTGCATCGCAGATTTCGCCGTGGCTTCGCCCAATTCTTTTTCTGGTGCCCATGGGTACGGGTGACGACGGAACCGTCCCTATCACGTTCGGAGGCCGTGACGTCCCGTTATAGCTGCACCGGTAGCCCGGACATGCACACCAGGATATCGCGGAATGGTACGTCCTCGTGCACCATCTCAGAGCACGCTTGTGACACCGGCTCCACGACACCTAAAAACGAATCGCAGCCTCATCCCGAGCACGCTAATCAAGCGCGCAGGAACGTGCAAGCCTCCCTCATAGATTTGTGCAATTTAACTCCCAATGTCATCGTCGACAACGTCGACGACGACGGCGTGGTTGTCACATCCAGGAATTGCACATCATATACTGATTAGCGCGAAATTCCATGTAAACTGATGCACTCGGATTTAGAGAACATTTAATTTTACATTTCATATCTAATATATTTAATTTTATATTTCATATCTAATATATTTAATTTTACATATTTAATTTTACGATTTATATCTAATATATATAGATATATCTATATTTGTGTGTGTGTATGATTTTCGTTTCGTTGAGAATGAGAATCGGATACATTCAGTGCTGAATGTTGTACAATGCAGGCTAAATTCATTTCGCTTGGTTACGTATCGATCTCGGCTCAGCAGCCTAGGCCAGGAAGGCAATAAGTGTGATGGAGAATAAACTGTAATTATTACACGTTTTTCGTTTGTTAACATCATTAACTCGCGAGAGATATATTTGCAAGATCATGAATTGAGTCTTTGAGCACCTAATTCCATATCAATTCACTTCTGAATTAAATTACGTTAAGAAAGAAATAAATATCCAATATATAATTTTAATTTTATTTTTCAGTATCTTTTTTAATTAATAAATGTTTTTTGTTCTATAAAGCAACTGCTTTAGAAGATAATTCTATAATTCGCGACATTCATGAATTCAAGACAGAAATCTATCTATAATTATATATACCTCATATCTTATATATATAATGTACGTGTATATTTTATGAGTTTATTTTACTCTCTCTTTTTTTCCTATATATATATATATATATATT